CCACTGACCCTTCAGCACCTTGACTCTGAGGACTGGAGAGAGAGGTCAACAGGGGACATGCCGGGAGCCGCACTGGCCTCTCTGGATGGCAGTCACAGCAAGGAAGTGACAATGTTTGCAGCTCCTCCCATGAGATATGAAAACTGGTATCTCCTTCTGCTACTATTGGCTCATGTTGGATATAAGCCTGCTGGTATTGACCAGGCCTCACAATATTCCATATCAGACCCATATTCTGAATACAGATACCTCATAAGGAAAAGCATATTCCTGCCTTTACAAAAGAGATTTTAGATGAAAGCTCTATGGACGATTGTCAAAAGGCTCTTCCTATGGGCCTTGCAGATCCAAGACTTAGGGGGTTAAGAACACAAGAATTACAACTGAGCCTGGCCCTGAGACTAAGGGCCTATTTTGGGGTTAAGAGCAAAACATAGTTACCACACATATCTTTGCTAATTGGTGAAACATAACAGTCCCTTCCTCAAGGCCTACTTTCCACAAACACCCTCTCTTACACTGGCAGCTGGGATGAGGATAGATAACAGTAGCTAAAACATAACCCAGGGGCAAAAGACTGACCCATTCAGGGCCCCCATGATAGTCTCCACAAACAAACCAATTCAGAAACATTCATCCACTTGAGAGCCAGACAAAATACTCCTAACTTATCTATATACAATTTGACCTATATGTTATCCTATTTTTCACTAAGAACATTCTGTTATTTCCTTGGTCGGAATAATTCTACTATTGTTATCACAAAAGACCTCCCATTGTAAGAAATTCCTTTCTATGACTTCATCTGGTTGCTGAACCTTTAAATAAAGACACAAAAACCGACAGGACAGAGATGCCTGCCTGGTGATCAGAAAGAATCTCCGGGGCTCTCTCACTCTCTTTCTCTCTCTCGCCGACACTGTCCATCCTTCAGGGACCCCTGGACCTGCCGGAGCCGGCCTCCAGCAGGGACAGACTATAAACTCCCAGTGGGCGGGGGCAGCATTTTCTATTGGCTGCAGTCATTATTTTTTTTCAATGTTTTAATGTTTATTTATTTTGGAGAGAAAGAGAGATAGAGCATGAGTGGGGGAGGGTTAGAAAGAGGGAGACACAGAACCTGAAACAGGCTCCAGGCTCTGAGCTGTCAGCACAGAGCCCGACACGGGGCTCGAACTCACAAACCATGAGATCATGACCTGAGCAGATATAGGATGCTTAACCAATTGAGCCACCCAGGCGCCCCTAAATCCCAGTAGATTAAGAAAAATAGATATCATACGATGTATTTTCTCTAACCACAACAAGGTAAATAAGCTAGAAATCAATAACAAGAGTAAAACTAGAGAATTTACAAATTTGTAGAAACCAAACAAAACAGTCTTTCACAACCAGCAGATCAAAGAAGGAATTACAAAATATTCAAAGATGAAGACAGCAAAAACACAACACACTAAATGTGGAATGCAGCAAAAGTAGTGCTAAGGGGGAGATTTATAGCTGAGAGGACTTATATTAAAAAGTGAGAAAGATCTCTGGGGCGCCTGGGTGGCTCAGTCAGTTGGGTGTCAGACTCTTGATTTCAGCTCAGGTAGGGATATCACCCGAGCCCTGCATCGGGCTCTGCCCTGAAAGCATGGAGCCTGCTTGAGATTCTCTGTCTCCCTCTTTCTCTGCCCCTCCCTCTCTCCCTCTCCCTCTCTCTTTATCTCTCAAAATAAATTAATAAACTTAAAAAAAATTTTAAATGAGGAAGATCTCAAATAAAAAACCTAACTTTACAACTTAGACAACTAAAGAAAAAAAGGAAAAATAAACCAAAATCTACCAGAAGAACAGAAATAATGAAGATTAGATCATAGATAAACAAAATAGAGAATACAAAAAAAAAAAGAGAGAAAATCAATGAAGCCAAATGTGTTTCTTTGAAAGATCAACAAAATTGACAAAACTTTACCTAAATGGACTTATAAAACAAGAAATAAAACCCAGAAAATTGAAATTACCAAAATCAGAAATGAAAGTGGAAGCATTATTACTGACTTCATAGGAACAAAAAGATTTACAAGAAATTGCTATGAATAACTGTACACCAACGAAGTGGATAACCTAGGTGAAATGGGCAAATTCCTAGACCCTAGTAAGACTGAATCAAGAATAAAGACAAAGGAGGGGCACCTGGGTGGCTCATTGGGTTAAGCGTCTGACTCTTGACTTCAGCTTAAGTCATGATCTCATGGCTCATGGAATTGAGCACCACATCAGGCTCTGTGCTGACAGCATAGAGCTTGCTTAAGATTCTCTCTCTCCGGGAGGGTCAGAGAGAGAGGGAGACAAAAAAAAAAAAAAAAAATCTCTCTCTCCCTCTCTCTGGCTCTCTCCTGATTGCACTCTCTCTCTCTCTCTCTCTCAAAAATAAAGAAATATTTAAAGAAAAAAAAATGGGGCACCTGGGTGGCTCAGTCAGTTAAGCATCCAGCTTCAGCTCAGGTCATGATCTCACAGGTCATGAGTTCGAGCTTGAGCTCCATGTCGGGGTCTGTGCTGACAGCTTTGAATTCTGTGTCTCCTTTTCTCTCTGCCTTCCCCCATTCATATTCTGTCTCTCTCTTACACAAAAATAAAATAAACATTAAAAAATTTTTAATAAAAAAATTAAAAATAAAGAAAAAAATGAATGAAGAGAAAGGCTGAACAGAGTAGTAACAAATAAGGAGACTGAATCAGTAATCAAAATTATCCTGACAAGGGGCACCTGGGTGGCTCAGTCGGTTAAACATCTGACTCTTGACTTCAGCCCAGGTCACGATCTCAAGCTTTGTGAGTTTGAGGCCCATACCAGGCTCTGTGCTGACAGTGTGGAGACTGCTTGGGATTCTCTTTCTTCTGACTCTGTCCCCCTCTCAAAATAAATAAATAAACTGAGAGAGAGAGAGAGAATAAATACTTTAAAAAATATATCCTGAAGAGAAAAGCCTAGAACCAGGCTATTAAACATTTAAAGAAAAACAAGTACCAATCCTTCCTATACTTTTCTAAAAACCATAAAAAGAAGCAACATTTCCAGACTCATTGTATGAGGCCATAATTGTCCTGATACCAAAGCCAGACAAGACACTGCAAGAAAAGAAAACTAAAGCCTAATATCCCTTAGGAACATTGATGCAAAAATCCTCAACAAAATACTAATAAACCAAATTCAGCAAAATATTAAAAGGATTATACACCATGACTAAGTGGTACTTATTTTTGGAATGTAAAGATGGTTCAACATAAAAATTGATCAATGCAACACACTATATTACTAGAATGAAGAAGCAGGGAAAAAAACATGATCACTTCAATTGATGCAGGGAAAGCATTTGGCAAAATCCAACACTTTATCATGATCAAAATACTCAACAAACTAAAAATAGAAGCAAACTACCTCAACATAATAAAAGCCACATATAAAAAATCCACATTGATCACTCAATTGTGAAAGACTGAAAGTTTTTCCTCTAAGATCACAAACAGGGCAAGGCTCCCTACTTGTGCTTCTTCTATTTCATATAGTGAAAATTCTAGCATAGCAATTAGGCAAGAATAATAAATAAAAGACATCCAAATTGGAAAAGAAGAAGTAAAAAAAAGGAAAGGAAGAATTAAAATGATCTGTTTGTAGGTGATATGATCTTACAAATAGAAAACCCTAAACATTCCACCAAAAACAAAAAGTTAGAACTAATAAATGAATTCAGCAACGTAGCAAGATACAAAGCCAACACATGAAAATAAGTCACATTTCTACACGTGGATTGGAAGGCTTGATATCATTAAGATACAATTTCTATCAAAATTCCAATGACACTTTTTTGCAGAAATAGAAAAAACCAACCCCACAATTTATACAGAATCTTGTGGGATCTCATGGGAACAGACAAAATAGTCTTAAAATAGAAGATCTGGAGGACCCACATTTCTTATTCCAAAACTTACTACAAAGGCACAGTAACTAAAAGACAGTAATGCTGACATGAAAGTCAGGCACAGAGACCAATGGAGTAAAATAGAGTCCGGAAATAACCCCTCAGATGTGCGGTCAAATGCTTCTCAACGAGGGAGTGAAGGCCATTCAATGGGGAAAGGACTGTCTTTTCAACAAACAGTGTTGGGAAAAAATGGATATACACATGGAAAAGAGTTAAGATGATCCTCTAACTAAAAACATATACAAAAACAAACTCAAAACGAATCAAAGATCTAAACATAGGACCTAAATCTGTAAAAAAAAAAAAAATTCTTAGAAGGAAACACAGGTCAAAACTCTCACAATACTGAATTCGGTGATGATGTTTTGCATATGACTCAAAAGGCACAAGCAACAAAAGAAAAAAATAGACAAATAGGACATCGTGAAAATTTTAAAGTTTTGTGCATCAAAGACACTACCAACAGAGTAAAAAGGCAACCTACAGAATGAGAGAAAATATTTGCAAAGTGTATATCTGATAAGAGATTAATATCCAGATATATAGACAAGTAGCATTCAATAATTAAAAAAAAAATTCAAAAATGGGTAAAGGAGTTTAATAGACAGACGTTTCTCCAAAGCAGATATACAAAAGCCCACCAAGTACATGAAAAGATGCTGGGCATCACGAATCGCTGTGGAAATGCAAATCAAAATTATAATGAGATACCACCTCATAACCATTAGGATGGCTGCTATCAAAACAATCAAACAGGGGTGCCTGGGTGGCTCAGTCCATCAAGCATCCAATTTCAGCTCAGGTCATGATCTCATGGTTTGCGGGTTCAAGCCCCGCGTCAGTCTCTGTGCTGACATCTCAGAGCATGGAGCCTGCTTCAGATTCTGTGTCTCCCTCTCTCTGCCCGTCCCTCACTTGCCCTGTCTCTCTCTGTCTCTCTCTCAAAAATAAATAGAACAGCAACAAATTAAAACAAACAAACAAACAAACAAACAAACAAAAAACCCAACAACAACCAAAAAATGAGTGTGAAAGGTTTCAAAGAAATATTTATACACTATGCTCATAGCAACATACTCACAGTATCTAAAACAGAAACAAACCAAGTGTCCGTTGGTGGGTAAAAGGATTAAGCAGAGTGTGATATATACTCACAATGGAATATTATTCAGCCTTCAAAAGGAAAGAGCTTTCTTTAATAGAGGTTGCAGACATATAGCAGCCATCGCTTGAATAACTTTTTTCTTCTCTCTCAAGAGATTTTAAATTTTGTCGATATGTCTGAGTATTAAAAATAAAGTTATCCAAGAGTCCAGGGAAACGTGCTCTTGGTCCTGGAGCTATGGGCAAGCTTCTGCTCCCTCTGGGCCTCAGGGTCCTTTCCTGTGAGACCAGGAAGACTCGATCCTCAGGGCCTTTGCATTCTCCTGGCCTCTCTGCCAGTGCCCCCCACCCCCACCCCAGCCACCACAGTCCCATACACTTCCACGGAGCTGTGATTTAGAAGGTATTCATAGGTACCATCCTACATGGGTCATGTCTTTTCCTGGAGCCACACAGGACTGAGCCTCTGCGTGGCTGGAATGAAACAAAGAGGAAGGATGTGCCGGGAGCTGGGTGGGGGGGTGGGGGGTTCTCTACAGGTCCCCGTTCCCGCTCCTCCCCAAGGAAGCCAGCCAGGCCGATGGCACAAAAGGGACAGCCTGAGGGAGCCCAGCCGCCTTGCTGGTGACCGTCGAGGCGAAGAGGCTGAGGGGGACATGGGTGAGGGCCCAGGGGGCCTGTGGCCCATAGAGACCTCCAGACGATGGGGCCAGAGACACAGGCCTAGGTCTTCTTAATCGCGCTGTACTCTGGTTCTTGTTCCAGGGTCCTCTGGGAGCGAGTCTCTTTGGCCTTAGAATCCTGACTCTGGGAGTCAAATGCCACCGAGGAGTAGTGAAGCTCTTCCGGAGCCTTCTGCAGAGAGAGAGAGAGACTGGAGGCTCAGGGAGAGACAGGGGAAGCACTGGTCCCCAGCTGAGGATGGAGACAGGGGACACCCCAGGGGACCCTGAGGGTGGCGGGTCCAGGCTTCCCCACTGCCCTTCCCCACCCTTGCTTCACCTCCGACCTGTTGAAACACATCACAAAGTCCCAGACACCAGACCCGAACTCTTCCACTAACGAGTGGGTCTTGACCTCAGTGGGGTGGGGGCTGGGGCAAGCCTCTTCCATGCTCCACTTTACAGTCGTGGCACCTAAGGGTTGACTCACAGGGGGGCCATTGATTAAAAACCTGAAACGCAGAGTTGCTACCAAAGAGACGATGGCGCCAAAACAACGGGAAATCACAGGCTTTAACACCGGTGTGTGGTATATAGTAGGGGCGTAATAAACGCTCCGCTTTACTGACTGTTGGTTGACCATCACTGGCCACCCCAACAGCCCCTTCATCTGCCGCAGCCCCCAGCTACAATGGCACAAAGCTCTGGCAGGATCTACACTTGCCCTACGTTCTGTGTGGCCCTGTGCTGGAGAGGCACAATGTCACCAAGCCAGCCCCTCTCTTCCCTCCCTGTCTGCTGTCGCCACGTGGCGTGCGGGGTCGTGCATCTCGCAGAGCCCAGGACTTCCCACCACACCCTCCCCACCGCCGGCCCTCGCACTCACCACAGTGCTGTATTCCACCTCTTCCTGCCTCGGCTGTGCGGGCTCCCCCTGGAGTGTTAACATCTGCAGCTCCAGATTCGCATAATAGGGCTCACTTTGCAGCGTATCCTGGGTGGGCAGGAGGTGTGCGGGCTTGGCAGGTGTCCAGGGATCCCCTCTGTGGTCCAGCTCAGAGGGACCTCTGTTCCTGCCTGCCTGCAGGCATCACCCCTCCCCTCAACGCTCTAGGTGCCCCAGCCCCCGTCTGCGCACCCCCCGTGTCTCCTCCATCCCCTGCTCTGCTACCCTCTGGGCAGCATTTGAATGCCTCCCAAGTCAGCATAGAAGGGCCCATCCTCACTCCACTTTCTATGGGGCGTGGGAGTGGGGACAGATTAGCCAGAGCTAATTCGCCAGCCACCCAGCCACCAGGGATCATTCTCCCTGCTCTGGGCAAGCACCCAACTCCATCCAAGGACAATGCACTCAGACCTCCACTGGCCAGTGGGACGGTTGAAGCCCCCAACATCCCCTGTTCTCCCCCCAGCCACCCCAGCATGCCTGCGGGCAGCCTGTCTTACCTGACTAGGGGCCCGGAGTGGCTCTGGGTTCTCGCCAGCTAAAGAGACAGAAGAGTTAGGAGCCTGAGTCCCAGAACAAAACAGGGATGAGGGTCCCTACGGTCCAACTGGAGGAAGGCCTTTCCCTAGAGACTCTGGCGGCAGGGACCTGTCACTTCCAGGAAGGAATTGCCGCGAGGGTGAGTGGGTGAAGAAGGAAATGAGGAATGAATGCGCGAGTGGAAGAGAGAATAAATGAACCAGCAGGAAGGCACAGGCTTGGGGAGGGCGGCCAAAACAAAGCTAGTTCTCGAAACAGTCGCTCAAAAAGAAGGCTCCCAAGTGGGAGTAGACCGGAGAGGGACACCTGTTTAGAAGCGCCTATCAGCAGGATGAAGCAGTTCTGGAGATTTCTTTCACAACAACATCACCAACCTGTAAACTTAAGAATGGTTAAGATGGCTGGGTGGCTCAGTGGGTACAGCGTCCGACTTTGGCTTTTTGGGTCATAATCTCAAAGTTCATGGGTTCGAGCCCCACATCGGGCTCCGTGCTGACAGCTCAGAGCCTGGAGGCTGCTTTGGACTCTGTGTCTCCTCTCTCTGCCCCTCCCTTGCTTGCTCTCTGTCTCTGTCTCTGTCTCTCTCTCTCTCAAAAATAAACATTAAAAATTTTTAATAAAAAGAATGATTAAGATGGCAAATTTTACGGCATGTGCTTTTTACCACAATAAAAAAAAACCAAAAACACACAGATCCACAGCCTCTCTCCTAGATGTGTGGAATCAGAACCACTAGGGATGGGTTCAGCAAATCTGTGTTTTAAGAAGCCCTGAAGAATGTTTAGGGACTGTGCTTACAAGACCTCAGTACTGAATCAAACCATGAAAGGTCACTGGGGTCACCCGCTCCGATTGCCCTGGCCTGGGGGTCTGTCCCGCACACACAGGAGGCCCCGTGGCTCCGGGACCACAGCTCAGGGCACACGACCTCTGGCCACTGGCATCTCCAGCGTCGCTCTGCAGGAGTCCTGCCTCTGAACACGGCTCTATGCACCTCTGGCTTCTTGAACCTGGAGACCCAAGAGCGGGCGGGCAGCGGGCCATGTACACACAGCCGGATGCTTTTGGTGTGGCTGCACAGCCAGGCAACCCCACCCCTCCCCTGCACTAGATGCACCAGGGACAGACACTGCCCGCCCCTCAGGGAGCCCCAGAGTGGAAGGTGAGACAGAGGCACTTAGGACAGAAGTGCTCGCTGAGTGCTCTCGGTCGGCTTAGCGGAACTGGCTGCTCTGAGGTGGAAACATTCTGTTCCAAACACGGCGTGCGGGCTTCTGCCACCCTCCCTCTCCTCCCTTTCCTGGTGGAGAAGAGATGGGTGGACATTGCTGGGGACGGAATGTGGCAGTGAGAAAGCTCGGCTGTAGCCGGCTGCACAGGAAGGTGGGATGTAGTTCTCTCCTGGTCACGACACTGTCCCCCAGAGCCCAGCACGGGGCCTGGCACCACGGTGGGGACGGCTGTGCTGTGTGCGTGAGCGAGGGAATGAATGGCCGATGAATGATGACTAGCGGAGGGGAAGGACGGCCAGCGGGTATGACGGGGCAGGCATCAGGCTGCGACAGAGAGTGAAGACAGCGTGGGGACAGAAGCTGAGACTTGCAGGGATGGGGAGGGAAAGTCAGCATCTTTTTTTTTTTTTTTTTTTTTTTTTCTGAGAGAGAGAGAGACAACATGAGCAGGGGAGGGTCAGAGAGAAAAGGAGACACAGAATCAGAAGCAGCTCCAGGCTCTGAGCTAGCTGTCAACACAGAGCCTGACACGGGGCTCGAACCCATGAACCGTGAGATCATGACCTGAGCCGAAGTCGGACGCTTAACCGACTGAGCCACCCAGGCGCCCCAACATCTTTGAACACAAGGCCTTTATCCTGTTACAGTGGGTCTGTGAAGCAAAGGGCAATCCCTCCACATCATTAAACTCCGCAGTAAGAGACTTCTAGAACATTGCACAGCAGGGAAAATGATATTGTAGGTTAAGTGCAAATATCTGTGTGTGTGTGCATTGTGTGTGTGTGTGTAGAAGAGGGATTATGGTATGAAGCAAACCATAAGCAAAAAATCATATCTGCATAAATAAACATTGAGAAGCAGAGGGGAGGACATACCTCAAATGTCAGTGCTTGGTTTTCTCCGGGTGCTGGGAATTTTCTTTCTTATTATATTATTATGGGCAGTTTACTTCCTTCTTTGTGCTTTTGCTTATTTTTTGAATGTTCTACCACAATCTTTTTTAAAAAAATTGTTTTAATGTTTATTTATTTAGTTTTGAGAAAGAGAGAGAGAGAGAGAGGGAGGGAGAGAGCACATGCAAGCAGGGGAGGGGCAGAGAGAGACACACACACACAGAATCCCAAGCAGGCTCCAGGCTCTGAGCTGTCAGCACAGAGCCTGACATGGAGTTCAAACTCATGAACTGTGAGATCATGACCTGAGCCAAACTCAGACGCTTAACCAACTGAGCCACCCAGGTGCCCCTGTTCTACCACAATCTTATATCCCCTTTTTCAGAAGGGAGGTTCTTGGGGCCCCTGGGTGGCTCAGTTGGTTAAATGTCAGACTTTCGGCTCAGGTCATGATCTCACAGGTCATGAGTTCAAGCCCCACATTGGGCTCTCTGCTGTCAGCACAGAGCCTGTTTGGATCTTCTGTCCCCCTCTCTCTCTCTGTCCCTCTGCTGCTCATGCTAGAATGCGTGTGCATTTACTCTCTCTCTCTCTGTCTCTCAAAATAAAACACATTAAAAAAAAAAAAACCTAGAAGGAAGGCTCTCTAGGTGAAAGGGCAGAGAGAGAGCTGGGACCCACAGGCCTTAGGCAATCCAGGCCGTGAAAATCCCCGAGGGAGGCCCCGCCTGGGGTGGGAGGAGGGCGGGCGCTCAGAAGTGATGTGGGAGAAGCGGATGGGGAAGAGGAAGTGGTATCCCTCCCTGCGTCAGGCACACACATGCTGAGGCTGACTCCTCTTCTAAAGTCCTGACCCCCACAGAGGGCCCCCTCCCCGATCCCAAGTATGCACGAGGTCCGGGAGCACCCACCCCGCGGCTGTGGGGCATGCACCCCTCCTCCCAGAAGGCTGGACAAGGATTCCCCTTAGAGGCAGCTGCTCATGGAGTCCAGAAGTTTTAGAACAAAGAAGGAAACATAAGGCTCCCACTGCAACTCGGGCAGAGACCTGTGTCCCTGTGGGTGACAGCTGGGCTTCCAGCCAGCAACAAGGTCACACCTGCGTCCATCTGCTCTTCTCTTTACTGAGTTCGCTCGTTTAGAAGCTATTGAGCACCTACTTCCTGAGTGCCGGACAGGGTGCTGGGTGGGCCACACATGCTCTCCTTTAGTCTGAGCCCAGAGAGGAGCAAGGGGGTCCCGGGAAGCGTGAAATATCTGAGGTGCCCTCATGGCCAGAGATACTGAACAATACGTTAATTTAATGAAAACTGTGTGCCTTCTCTGGTTTGGGTCCCTGATCTTGAGGAGTAGCCCGGGCCAGCGGGAGACGGGCGAGGAAGCAGGCGGGGAGAGTCTGGGGTGAAAAGGGTATGAGGGTGCATGTACACAGGTGCAGCCAGGAGGGGCCCCCAAGCTGCTTTTGTGGGGAGTGGGGGGACAGGAGAAGGTCCCAGAGGACAGGGAGTCTGAGAGCCCCAGGCCCGCCAAGAGTAAGCCGGGGAAGGAGGGTCGATGGAGGAGGCGCCCCAGGGGCCCGGAGCAGATGCAGAAAGGCCTTACTGATCCGTTCCCACCAAGGTAGAGGAAGCTGGGAACAGTTGTCTTCAAGAGTGTGAGGGTGGGCAGGGTGAGGGGCGGCAATGCCCTCCAGGGCATGGGAGGTCACAGAAGGGTCTTAAACAGAAGAGGGTGACCGCTTCCAAGGGACAAACTTCCAGGGAGCCCCCTCCCACCGCCTGTCTCCGCCATACCAGGGACACCTCCCTTGGGGCCTGGCCTCAAGGGTCACCCAGGACATGTGGTCCGAGGGAACACACTCGATGCCCACTCTGGGGAACAAAGACACAGAGTCTTGAAAACGAGAGGGACACATGCTTTGGGCCTGTGGCCCCCACCCCCCACCCAGCAGGGGGCTGACTCACCTTTGACCTGCTTGCGCTTGCGAAGCATCCTCCAGGCCAGGAACAAGCTCCCCCCCAGCAGAAGCAGCAGAAGTGCCAACAAGGAGAGCAGTACTTGGAGCCTGGAGGGGGGCACAGGGGGTGTTGAGCAGGCAGGAGCTTGCATCCCCGCCCCCCGCACCTATTTGCAGTAGATAGAAAAGGTCACATTAAAAAACAAAAAGTAGACAGTATATCAGTGTACTTAAGAAACTTCCAGGGGCGCCTGCGTGGCTCAGTTGTTTGAGTTTCTGACTTCTGCTCAGGTCATGAACTTACGGTTCAGGAGTTTGAGCCCCACATCGAGCTCACTGCCATCAGTGCAGTGACACTGTCTCCCTCTCCCTCTGCCTCTCTCTCTCTCTCTCAAAAGTGAATAAACATTTATTAAAAAGAAAAAAAAAGAACCTTCCAGAGGCTTTTTATTCAGATACAAGAAAATATAAAGATACTTTACTTTCCCCCTCCTTTCACACAAAGGAGGCTGTACTTCAACACTATTTTTGTTACTTAGTGATACGTGGACATCTCTCCACATCTGTGCTTAAGAAGACCCTCGCTCTTTTCCACAACTGCATAGTATTCCACTGCAGGGACAGACATAATTTAAGTCTTGCTTCTGATCGGCACGTCCCCCAGCCTTTTGCTATTACAAACATTACTACCAAAAAATGGCCTTGGGGCACTGCCATTTCACACGTGAATAAGCCACAGCAGAGGCCCTGGGAAGCTGCCTTTGGGTCCCTTGCTTGCCAGGCCTTTCCTCCCTGTCTACCTTGCATTCATAATGTTCTAGTCTTTTTCCTTTTTTTAAATGTCTGTTTACTTTTGAAGGAGAGAGAGACAGAGCATGAGCAGGGGAGGGGCAGAGAGGGAGAGGGAGACACAGAATCTGAAGCAGGCTCCAGGCTCCGAACTAGCTGTCTGAACAGAGCCTGATGCGGAGCTTGTACCCACGAACTATGAGATCATGACCTGAGCCCAAATTGGATGCTCAACCGACTGAGCCACCCAGGAGCCCCATGTCTTTTTCTTAAAGATGCACGTTTCCCCCCACACCAACTGCATAGGCTCCAGGCCTCACGAAACCTAGTTGTGCCCCCTGTGTGTGTATCTGCAGTCAGTTCTGGAAGTGGTGTGTTTGGGGCCTGAATTTCACCTTGGCTGATGTTAAGATAGTCACTTGGACTGACGGGAGGCCTGTGGAAGGGTTTTGGGGGGTCATATAATAAGGAATCTGAATGGGGCGCCTGGCTGGCTCAGTCGGTAGAGAATGTGACTCTTGTTTGTGAGTTCAGCCCCACGGGGCGGGGGGGGGAGTGTTTGGAGATAACTTTAAAAAAAAAAGAATCTTTTTTTTTTTCCCTAGGAGAGAGAGAGAGAGACAGCGTGAGCAGGGGAGGGTCAGAGAGAGAGGGAGACACAGACTCTGAAATAGGCTCCAGGCTCTGAGCTAGCTGTCAGCACAGAGCCCAACGCGGGGCTCGAACCCACGAACTGCGAGATCATGACCTAAGTGAAAGTCGGACGCTTAACCGACTAAGCCACCCAGGCGCCCCTAAAAAAAAAAAAGAATCTGAATGGCCTTTGTGCCTGGCTTGTGGAAGGGAGGCTCTAAATCCTAAGGATGTTCCCTAATAGTACGCTTGCCTCTGTGATTCAAGGATCCCTAGGATCACGGATTATGCCTGACTTTATGCTAAGAGATGAGTGAGTCGGGACTAGGTTTGGTCACCAGAAGGTCCAACCCCATGACTATAGAGACTTGGGGCTCCAAGCCAGCCTGAAATTCAGGAAGTAGAGGGGGGCTGGGGATGGAGGTCAGTCATATGGACAATGATTCAATCAATCATGCCTACATAATGACATGTGCCCCCTGTGCCCCGCCTCTCCTGGGAGTCAGCAGGTAACCTCTGTGCCCAGGATCCTCCCAGATCTCACCCCATGTGTCTCTTCATTGGCTGGTCTTGGCCTTTATCCTTTAGGATAAAACCACAAGTATGTACAGCTGGCTTCTGTGCATTCTGTGGGCTATCTACCCAATTATCAAACCCAAAGTGGTCATGGGAACCCCCCAATTCATAGCCAGTTGGCCAGAAACGTGATGGGCGGGGATCCCCACACTGCTGTGGCTTCTGAAGTCAGTCAGTCTTATGGACCTGAGCCCTCAGCCCGCGGGGTCTATGCTAATGCCAGGTGGTCAGTGCTGGAATCAACTCGTAGGACAAAAGGTGGGGCCCGGTTAGGGAGTCTGAGACCCTCAGAGGTGGTTTACAACTGCATGCATTTTTCTGAGCAGTCCATAAGCATTGTCGGATTCTTCTGGTGGGTGTGACCCCAAAAGATCAAGAATCACAAGTTTAGGGGCACCTGGATGGCTCAGTCAGTTGAGCATCTGACTCTTGATCTCGGCTCAGGCCATGATCTCATGGTTTGTGGGTTTGAGCCCAACGTTGGGCTCTGTGCTGATATAAAGAGCCTGCGTGAAATTCTCTCTCTCCCTCTCTCTCTTTCTCTCATTCTCTCTCTCTCTGCCCCTTTTCCGCCTCAAAATTAAGAAATAAACTTAAGGGGCGCCTGGGTGGCTTAGTCGGTTGAGCGTCCGACTTTCGCTTAGGTCATGATCTCGCGGTTTGTGGGTTCGAGCCCCTCGTCGGGCTCTGTGCTGACTGCCAGCTCGGAGCCTGGAGCCTGTTTCAGTCTGTGACTCCCTCTCTCTCTCTCTCTCTCCTAGAAATAAATAAAACATTAAAAAAAAGAAGAAGAAGAAGAAGAAGAAGAAATAAACTTAAAAAAGAAAAGAATCACAAGTTTAGAAGGAAGAACCAAGACTCTGGAGTCACGTAAATCTGGGAAGCATGCTTCCCATAGCTACACAACCCAGCAGATCACTTAATCTCTCTGAGCCCAGTCTGCCCCTCTGTAACATGAGGGCCATGATGGCCCAGGGCATGGTGACATGAGAACATGCACATAGGGCATTCAGCACATCCCTGGTGGGAGCATCAGCCCTTACTAGAAGTTCCTTTCTGCCATCCCCGCTGTGTGCCCTCCCCTGTCCCTGAGCAACTCCTGAGGGGAGAGCCCACCTCCAGGACAAGGAACGGGGGCCAGGGCGCCTCACCCCAGGCCCTGGCTCTGCTGGAATTCCTTCTGGCTGCTCGCACTGTGGGTGGCTCCCACGGCGCTGGAGACAGTGGATGCGTATGAGGATGGTGTGGTCGTAATTCCAGCTGTGGTTGTTGAGATCTGGGTTACAATGGTGTTTGCGGGGCGGGTGGACGTTGTTGCTAGGCGGGGGTGGGGGGGAGACACAAATCAGACCCAGGATAACTCTATCGGACTCTCCCGCTACCTGCCAATACCTTTTGGGTTTGATTTCACACAAAATGCTCATTCAGGGTGGAGGCAGGACCGAGGACCCCGTGGAACCACAGTCTCCCTGGGGTCCGAGACCCGGGCACTGCCCCCTCCCCAACAGTTCTGATTCCATCCTTCGGAGGAGGGTCAGGGCCCTCTGGAGAGCCCCTAGGTCACCCCTTCGCTCCAGATTCGTCCTCCTCAAGCCACAGCCAGAAGCTGCCTGCCTGAGATCTCTGTCTAAACTGCAAGCCTGACTGCAAGTCTGGCTGGAGCCCTGCTGCGCTGGCACCTTCACCTTCACTGTTCGGCCCGCCTGCCTCTCCACTCGGCTCCCACCGTCCCATAGAGCGGCTCCCTCTCTCCTTTGCACACTCCGCCTTCTTGGCTGCCCCTTCCCAAGACTGAGCAGAGGGGTCAGCTCCTCCAGGAAGCCTCTCTGTCTCCTCCGACTACCTGCCTCTCTCTCTCTCTCTCTCTTTCACACACACACACACACACACACACACACACACAGAGTTTGCTTCAAGTCTCTGATCTGATTCTTGCCTCAACTATTTCCCTCCTGAGACCTTTCAGGACCCCTGATGTTGGCGCTGGGGGAGGGGTGCATACAGCTCACCTGGGGTCACAGACACCTCGATGGTGAGGGTGGGCTCTCCAAAAGTTCCTAACCAGAATGTATCGACCCCACACCGATATGTTCCTGCATCATCCTCTACGAGGTTCTCCAAGGTCACTGTGAAGGTGAGGTTTGCAGGATGGTCCCTGATGGACACGCGGCCACTCCTCACTTCTCTGTCCGACTCTTTGGTCTCCACAATCTTCCGGAAACATGCCGGTTTGCACCAGTATTTGGGATATTCTCTTAACCGCTCTTCATATGAACACTTCACACTCAGGGATCCCCCCACGGGGCCTGACACGGAGGTGGGGCCACTTATAGACGAACAGCCTGGAAAACACAGCCGAGTGCGGGTCCCTCACCAGATGGGCCTGGGTCAGGGGTGCCCTGGGAGTCACCCCCCAAAGTTGCCCCATCTCACATCAGCCACCCCCATCAGCTGGAACCCTCCCTTCCTCTGTTTTTCTGTCACTCCCAAGATTTTTTATCACAGCAGTCCCTTTCTCCAGACCCCAGCCTCCCTCCCAGCTGCTCACTGTCACCAAGTCCTATCCCTGTGAACGCCAGAAAAACAAGCGAATCCCCCAACGAAGGAGGTCAGGAGAGGAACACACACATATACACCCCACCCAGGAGGAAAGAACGAGTAAGGTCAGAGCAGAAATCTGCGAATTAGGAAACAGAAACACAGTGGAGTTAGCATATTCATAAGAAACTTGATTTTTCATATGGGAGAGACAAACACTCTAGAGGTAGCCAAGTCAAGAAAAATAAGAGATGCATATACACAGGTCATAAGAAAAACAACCAGGGTAATTTGCTAGCCTCTACAAATAAGTCTGTAAACTTAGATGAAACATATGATTTCCTATACTTCAGAAAATATAAATTACCTCTATTGGCAGGAACATATTTATTTATTTTTAATTTTTTTAATGTTTATTTATTTTTGAGAGAGAGAGTTCATGAGCGGGGGAGGGGCAGAGAGAGAGGGAGACACAGAATCTGAAGCAGGCTCCAGGCTCCGAGTTGTCAGCACAGAGCCCGAAGTGGAGCTTGAACTCACAAACCTCGAGATCATGACCTGAGCTGACTGAACCACCCAGGCACCCCCGGTCTTTTTAATGTAGACCAGTCAAGATGCATGTTATCAAGGTGATAACACACTTTCCTGGTGATAACTGTGTGAGGTGCTTTGTATATCAAAACATCACATTACATCCCAATAAATATGCACAATTTTTATTTGGTAATTATACCTCAATAAAACTGGTAATTATACCTCAATAAAACTAAAAAAAAAAGTTCTTTGTCTTCCAAAAAAGGGAGGTAAAAACCCAGACAATGTCATAAATTAGTTCTCTCAAACCTTCAAGGGACAAACAATTCCAATTGCATTTACCCATTTGCAGAAAACATAGAAGCAGGAAAACCTACCTGATCCTCTTTATGAAGGCAGCACAGTATACTGAGACTAAAATCTGACTGAATTTCTTAATATGATTCACCACCTTCATAGTTCAAAGAAGAAAAAGTGATCATCTCCATAGATAATAAAAAGCATCCAACAACAAACATACTGTTACTATTTTTAAAAAAATTTTTTGGGGCGCCTAGGTGGCTTAGTCGGTTAAGCGTCCGACTTTCGCTTAGGTCATGATCTCGCGGTCCGTGGGTTCGGGCCCCGCGTCGGGCTCTGTGCTGACTGCCAGCTCAGAGCCTGGAGCCTGTTTCAGTCTGTGACTCCCTCTCTCTCTCTGACCCTCCCCTGCTCACGCTGTCTCTCTCTCTCTCTCTCCTAGAAAAATAAAATTATTAAAAAAATAATAATAAAAAAATTTTTTAATGTGTATTTATTTTTGAGACAGAGAGACAGAGCATGAGTGAGGGAGGGGCGGAAAGAGATGGAGACACAGAATCTGAAGCAGGCTCTGAGCTGTCAGCACAGAGCCTGACGTGGGGCTCGAACTCATGGAGCCGTGAGATCATGACCTGAGCCAAAGTTGAGCCACCCAGGCGCCCCCTCTTGCTAATGTTTTTTATTTTTTTTAAATATTTTATTTATTTCTAGGAGAGAGAGAGAAAGACAGCGTGAGCAGGGGAGGGTCAGAGAGAGAGGGAATCACAGACTCTGAAACAGGCTCCAGGCTCTGAACTGGCAGTTAGCACAGAGCTCAACACGGGGCTCGAACCCCTGAACCGCGAGATCATGACCTAAGCGAAAGTTGGACACTTAACCGACTAAGCTATCCAGGCGCCCCTCTTGCTACTGTTTTTAAAAACACTTTGTAGCGGCGCCTGGGTGGCTCAGTCAGTTAAGCATCTGACCTTGGCTCAGGTCATGATCTCACGGTTCGTGGGTTCGAGCCCTGTGTCGGGCTCTGTGCTGACAGCTCAGAGCCTGGAGCTTGTTTCAGATTCTGTATCTCCCTCTCTGACCCTCCCCTGCTCACACACTCTCTCTCTCTCTCAGAAATAAATAAAACATAAAAATAAATAAATAAATAAATAAATAAATAAATAAATAAATAAAAACACTTTGTAAAGAGACACAAGCAGACTCCTTCTTCACGCTTAATGGGAAAAACTGGACACACATCCTCGTCAGGGACAAGTCAAGGATGGTCAGTGCATCATTCTGGCTGGACTAGCCTGTGGCTGATGAGAGACACAAACGGGACACACGGATATCCAGAAGGAACCACAAAATCCCACTGCAGGCAGTTCCCATGAAAACACAAGGACACCCAGACGGTAATGGACAGAGTACTCGTGCGAGGGTGACCCGCTTCCAAATTAATACACAAAAGGAATAGCTTTCCCGTGGTCAACTAGTCAGCAAATAGAGTCAAAGAAAACACACAATTTAAAATCAAAACAACCAAAAGGACTTTTAAAGACCCCAGGGATAGACCTGTCTATGCGGCACGTGCCTGTGTGCAGAGAGCTCCTCATGGGCACAGAAGCCAGATGCCTGGACCCGGGAAGCCCGCTGCTCCCTGGAGAAGCTCTCCTCCCCTCCCTTCCCTCCCCATGACTTCTCTGCCCTCCTCTTCCTCCCCACCACCTTCCCCTCCCCTCTGTCCCCATCTCTCTGCCTTGAGGACACCAGGCCCCTCAAGCCGCCTTGGCTACACGCACCTCCCTGCGCCCACCCTAGATGGTGGCATATTCCCGCCAGTCATCACCCCTCCTTCACCCCTGCACAAAACACACACCCCTCCCCTCCCCTGGGGGTGCTCAGCCTCTGCGCTCTCCTCCCCACTCTGCTGCCGCCTGGTCGCCCCTCCTTCTTCCTGGAATAATCCATCCGAAACTTCCCTCAAAGCCCTTCTGGACGCCCTGCTGCGGCTCATGGAAGGTCAGGTGAATGCTCTGTCTCATGCCTCCACGTACGATCCTTCTGTCCATCCACCTTACGTGGTGGGCAGAGTGCGCCCCTCTCCGAGGTCTGTGCTCCCCCACCCCGCACCACCTCCTTCCCCACTGAGCCTCCCTCTCCTCTGGTGGCCCCTCACCTGGGACCCAGGCAAGCAGCAGCAGAGCCCACAGCAGCCACGCAGCCTGGTGCCACAGGCTCATCTCCTCCGCACAGACGTGCCCGGCGGCTCCGGCCCCTTCACGGAGGAGGGTCAAGTCTCCAAGGTTTCCACTTCTGCTTTTCTTCGCGCCCGCTGCTTCCTTGTTCGTTTTGTTAGGTTCTGTTCCTAGGGCTGGTCAGAGAATGAAGGGCACAGAGAGCACAGCCACCGGGGACAGGGATCGGCTGAGAGCCCCCTCCCCCCGGAACCATGCCCCCTCCTACCTATCCCAGTGGTGCCAAAGATGCCACAGATACTTCCAGAAATGAGACCCCTGCTCGCTCACAGTGCCCCAGACCTGAGACACCCCTTCCATCACACCCCCAAGAGCACAAGGCCGGGTTTCCTTCCAGCTGGGCTCAGAAATTCCTCCTGTTTCCTTGAGGTCCAGGTGAGCACCCAGTGGGGAGGAGTCAGGGCCAGCATCCTCCTCCAGCCCTGGTGAGGCCACACCAGGGAGCTCCCCTTCTGTGAGCCCTCAGCTCAAGGCCCAGACCCTTAAGCTGGCACAGTGACCTCAGAGTCCTTGAATGGCTCTTAGTCTTAGAAACGTGTCCTCTGGCTGTGACCTTCCTTCCTTTGCAGCCTCTACTGGTCGCAGCTCAGGGCGGGGCACAGAGTGGGCACTCAGCAAGCTTTCAGGGACCCCTCCTTCCCTGATGCACATGGAATTCAGACCCTAAATGCACACATGCACATTACCTGTGACAAGTGCCCTCAACTTGCACAGAATGGCCACGCGAACATAGGAAACCAATCCTAATGTGTGACATGTCATCAGATAGCCTGCAGTTAGTTATTCACTGAGTGCCACCCATAGGGAGCCCTGCGCTAGGTCCGCAATCCCCAGAATGCCCTTCCCTCTCTGCTCCTTTGGGGATTTTCACTTTCCTCCTCCCTTCTGGCCACAGGAGCACTTTCCCCGGGAAACTGCAAGGAACCAAGAAGACTTGCCCATTCTCCTCTGGAAGGTTCCAAGCACAGAGTTCGATGGGCATCAGAAGAATATCTATGGCAATGCAGTCATAGATTAGCTAAAGCTCATGAAGATCCAAGATCAAGATCTTGAACTGATCTTGATCTTGATCCTGAAAATGTAGGAGAGGCATACTTGGTGGCTTACTTGGTCTAGTAACTATAAAGTGTCTCCAAAAATCCCCATTTTCCAATTCAACCACTGAAAGACACTGCCACCATCTTGAATGTCAAGGTTAAGAGGGGGACACTCCAGACTGAGAAGCAGGAGCCTAGGATCTCCTGTGGCTTGTCCACTCAGCGCTGGTATAACCGACGGTAAAATCTGTGTCTCCTGCAAAACGCCAATGATCACGGCTAATCTGTGGGAATAAACAGCATAATAATTATAAAAATACTCAAAGGTGAGGTAGTAATGTTCTTAGGTCAGTTTTTTCCTCCGAAGGAATATATCTTTAAAGAAAAGCAATAGGAGGGTTCCTGGGTGGCTCAGTCAGATACGTGTCCGACTTCAGCTCAGGTCATGATCTCACGGTTCATGGGTTCAAGCCCCACGTCGGGCTCTGTGCTGACAGCTCAGAGCCTGGATCCTGGTTTGGATTCTGTGTCTCCCTCTCCCTCTGCCCCCTCCCCCACTCACACTCTCTCTCTCTCAAAAATAAATAAAAACATGTTTAACAGTTTTTAAAGAAAGGGAGTAGGAAGATAGGACTCAATAGGGAGATGTATGCTTCACAAATAAGCTATGGGATGCGATTCTTCTGAGGGGCACAGAGAAACATCTGGGCCACTGGAAGAGGAAGGGCAAGGGCCTCGATCTCCACTACAACCACCCTGCTGGCCCCAACCTGCCCACAAACGCCAGGGAAGAAATGAAATGATGCAACCTCGCCATGTGATATCAGAAAATTAGGGAAGTGACACCTTCCCCACTGCTCCCTGACAACCATGAGCAGACATGATTTAGGGGAAGACCAAGCCTGAGAGCCGGGGCCTGAGCCCACACTTTCCCAGGCAGAGACCAGCAACTGCAGAACCTCTCATCAGCTTCAGAGCCTCTCCCCAGTGTGGACACACACACTCCTAGGCCAATGGGGACAGGGGTGGACACTCTCTGGGCAGACACAGCAGCAGCCGCCTCTGCAGTGAGTCCTGTGAACAACAGGGGCCCCAGGAAAGCTGTAGGGCCGTTCGGCAGAACTTCCCTTTCTAAGGGGGCACAATCTCAGAGCCGCCCTCTCCCTTGGGCGGTCAGTGGTTCCCATCATTCTGCCTCTTCCTCTCCAGAGCTCAAGGCCCACGGGGGTCTCTGGGAGCCCCTCACCCACAGCAGGAGCCCCTCAAGAGTGACCAATGGGCCAAGAGGCTGGACACCGAGGGCTGCACAGCAGGAAGTGGCCGCATGACTGGCTGGCAGTAGGAGAGAAGATGACAGTTGGGTGAGCCTGGGGTGAGAGGAGAGAAGGAAACCAGCACCTACTATGGGACCAGCACTTTGTCTCCAGGGCGTTAATGTCTTCACGATCCGAAGACAAACAGAAAACTGTGCATGAGAGGCAGTGGGGGCGGGGCGGCCAGGAAGGAGGATGAAGCAAAGGAAGCATCTGGTTTCCCAATCCAGCCCTGCCCGCCTCTCCCTGGCCTCCCCAGGACTGCCCACACCCCAGCTTCCTCCTGCCCATCTCGGGGGAAGGTACTCCAGCATGGCCAGACCCTCCAGGGTCCCAGGCAGCTTGACCAACCCATATTCCAGCGAATTCCACAGTCTCAGGGCCACAGTCCCCAACCAGCTGGTCGTGGCCCGTAACACGCTCTCTCGCTTGGCCCTGGGCATGCTGTGGTCTCGACTGAGCGGAAACTGTGGACGAGCAGATGAGTGTCAGTCCCGGCCAGAGGCTGGAAAGTGCCCTCTATTCCCCAGGGGGCTTCCTGGCCACCGAGCCCCTGCTGTGTGCCGGTCCTGTCCCTCCTCACAGGTACCTGGACCCGCAGAGAATGTCTGCCCTCCGCAAAGGTCTTGCAGAGTTCAGTGGGAGCATCTGTCTGGGGACTCCTTCCGGCTCTACCCGCAGGGCAGCCCCAGGGCTCCTCAAAGTCCCATCATAGGGACGGGAGCATCAGCAGCAGGAGGGACGTGGGGGACTCTTCAAGGTCACTCATTCATCTTCAACCTCTTCCATCATTCAAGGCTGCAGTCAAGTCTTCCCCTCAGAGGACATCCCTGCCTCCTCCAGGCCCCTCTGGGCTCCCTCCTACGTCCCTGTGTCCCCCGCAAAGCCTGGTTCTGTGTTTGCTCACCCACGCTGGGGTGACATTGAGCGCCTCCCTTCTCGCGGTAAGACCCCATGAAAGCAGGGCCCCCACGGGGCCCCCACAGCCCCAGGCTCACGTGGCCACCATGCTGCCCAGGGAAGGGAAACCAGAACTGGGGACAGGTAACAGGGAAGCCAGGGCGTGGGGCTAGAGCTTAAAACGGGGTGAGCATGCGAACACCCATCCAACTGAGCCTTCAAGACTTGTGCTTTTACCCTGAACTGCCGCTCAACAGAAACTAAGTCCAAGCAGAGACCGTCAGCCTCCATACCAGGGAAGGTAGAGGCCGCGTCCAGGGCTCCATGACCATCCTCTCCCGACCCCCCAGGGACACACAAAGCGGGCAGGTGGCTAAGGGGCAGCCTCCCCCAGCACTGGCCTCCTGTGTTCTCCTGAGTCACAGCTGATAATCTGGGAGGTGGGTGAAGGGAGCCAGCCAGAGGGCCCCTGACTGTGACACGTGGGCTAGCATGGCGGGCAGGTCTGGCTTCGGTGTCCCGGACCTGAGCTGGATTTCAGCTTCCGGTGTGTCCTCGGTCAGTCAGCTTTCCCTTCTGTGAAATGGGAACAGTACTGCCCGCCCTGGCCCCCTCATGGGAAACTCACAATGACCACAGAGATGTGAATGCACCTGTCCATCACTTAGGCTGCTGTTTACTGAGCTCATGCCCTGAAACGTGTTCGCCTCTGCCTCTCACACCCAGAAAGATGAGATAACTTACCGGCAACAAGCCCAACCTCTGTGGGCCATGCCATGCCTCTCGAGTGGGTGACTTCTCAGGGCAGGGGGGTAGTGGGTTCTAGAAGGCAGTGGAGGGCACCCAACTGCTGACCCAGGAGTGTGATGGGGAAGAGGATGTTGGGCCCCTGAGTGCTCATTCCCCTGCCCGCCCCCATCACCACCTTCTGCTTCCTCCTCCTTCCTCACCCCAGGGCAGCCTTAAGCCTCTTTCCTTGTAGAAAGACATCAAACAAACAGTCCTGTGGGCTCTTGGCCCTGCACTGATAGGGGGTGGGTGGGGGTGGGATGAGCCAGCAAGACGTCCGTTCAGAAACTCCTAAAATTGGCTTCAGGGGGGCACATTTGGCCTCGAGCTTGAATATGTGAGTGTCTGGCACTCTGGAAATAACCCCCAACTCAGGAAGGTCAGGAGCTTCCTCAAACACGCACACACACATTCCTGTAACCACCTGACTGCTCCCTTCCTGCCCCGCTTATCTGTCCCAGTCACACAGCAGCCTCCCCACAGACATTTCCAGAAGCTGGTAGAATGTGTGTGTTTCAAAGGGCCACTTCAGGCCAGCCCAGAAGGTCACCCGCGGCACTTTGCTGTGGGTGAGCCCGAGCTGTATATGCGGCCGCTTCTGTTCCAAGGCAGCTGGTGAGTATTACACGAGCCGCCCGTCAGCAGGGGTGAAGCCAGATGCATTGCCTCAATTTGCCTGAGTCTGGGGTGTCCTTTTTAATTTCTTTCCGGTTTTCTGTGCCTCCCTGAGATCCAGAAAGGTCTGGCTATTTCCATTAACTGAGTCGCTTAGAATATTACAAAATGAAGAGAGTCGGAAAGAGGATTAAAGAAAATTAAAGCATTTAACAAATCAAGGTTCTTGTCATGCAGCATGCGCATGTGGGCGTGCACACGTGCACACACACACACACACACACACACACACACAGCAAGAAGTTGAACTGTTCCTCAGACAGTTATGACGTTTATAAAAATACACACTCATGGTGTGGGCTGGCAGTGGGACCCAGGTGCAGAGCAATGGGAAGGACATCTTTTCTCCTTCCCAGTAGGGGATGTCCCATAAACTCTGTGGCTTTAAGAACCAGCTCACTTAGCTGAGAGAGCATAAGAGAGCTTGTGTCCTGCTTCGGGTGAACCCCACTTCCCTCCCTCTCCCTCTGTCTCTCTGTTTTTGCTCACTTGTGCTCTCTCTCTCTCAAAAAAAAAAAAAAAAAAAAAGGAAGAAGAATAAGAATTGACCATATAGACTTCTGGGGCACCTGGGTGGCTCAGTCAGTTGAGCATCCAACTTTGGCTCAGGTCATGATCCGCAGTTTGTAGGTCAAGCCCCATGTGGGTCTTTCCACTGAAAGCATGAAGCCTGCTTCCGGTTCTCTGTCTCCCTCTCTTTCTGCCCTTCTCACACATGCTCTTTCTCTCTGTCTCTCAAAAATGAGTAAACATTTTAAAATTTTTTTAAAAAAAGAACCAACTCACTTAGAAATAATGTCAATCTTAAGTTTGAAGAAGTGCTCTAATAAAATTGGGTTCTGGTAATGGTTACACAACTGTAAATTCGCTAGTAATTATTGAAGCACACATATAAAATGAGTAAATGTTACGGCATGATACCTAAATTTTTAAAAAATAAGTTTGGGGGCGCCTTTTAAAAAAAACATTTAAAAATAAAATGTTTTTATTTTTATTTATATTTATTTATATTTATTTCTAGGAGAGAGAGAGAGACAGCGTGAGCAGGGGAGGGTCAGAGAGAGAGGGAGTCACAGACTGAAACAGGCTCCAGGCTCTGAGCTGGCAGTCAGCACAGAGCCCGACGCGGGGCTCGAACCCACGGACCGCGAGATCGTGACCTAAGCGAAAGTCGGACGCTTAACCGACTAAGCCACCCAGGCGCCCCAAAATAAAACATTTTTAAAAAAATAAAAAATAAAAAAATAAATTTGAAGCCCGTGGTGGATATGAGCCCACAGACCTCCCCACCGCTTCCCCACCACCATCTTGATCTCTGTATGTCCTTCTTGATTTTTCATTCCCTCATCAGCCCCAGTCTGCCTCAGATCCTTCCTAGCACTGATCAAAGGTTAGTATTTCAGAGTTGGCTCCCTCCTTCCTGTAAAGTGAAAGGAAACAGGGAAGGCCGTGAATGAACCAAGTACCAAAGTAGCTAAAAACTTCCAGAAGAAGGAATGGGTGTCTCTACCTCTCCCAGGAATTCAGCGCAGTAGTGGAGGGGCCGCTTGTCAGCAGTGCTGAAGGCAGGATCCACTGCCCTGGCCTGGCCTGGCCTCTGGTGTGCCCAACTCATTCCACTGCACCCTGAATTCCAGCACCTTCCACGCTCCCACTCCTGACTGCCCCCCCGCCCCCGACTGCACCTTGGTTCCATCCCGATCCGTCCCTGCCTGTCTGTTCCATCTCTGGTTGGCCCCTGGGGACACATGAGGGCCCTAGAGAATGGGGTGGTGCACGGACTGCACAGAATAGGGCTGGGGTAGCCTTCGAGCAAGCAGGCTGTTGGACCAGGGAAGTCCAACAGTCTTGGTCCTAATCCCCAAGGTGGCCGGGGCCAGGGAATACAAATCAGGCGGCGGGTCCCAGCAGGCCAGAGGCAGTGCCGTCTGCTTCCAAAAGAGAAGTCGCGCTCCCTAGGCGGCCTGTAAATTCAGAACCGACCGGCCGTGAGCAGCCCTTATCGCCACCTGTCGGTGGTTGTCGGAACTGCCGGCTTTCTTGGGCGAATAACGTTCCCATCTCCGTGAGCCAGGAAGTGGAGAGGCTTCCGAACCCACGTCCAGGTGTGTGGCATTGATCCTTCCAGACCCTCCAGCCAACAGACCAGGAGCAAGGGGAAGGCTCCAGCCCCTTGGAAAGGAAGTGTGGGGGCTTCTGAGAGGCAGGGGGGCCCTCTGTGGTGGAGAAGGAATAGGGGAAGGGAGGACGAGGAGAAGTATGGAGAAGGGAACAGACAGAGAGCCCAGCTCTCAGACCAGGCTGCCCAGGAGGGCTGGCGGACGCTGGAGCTCAGGCTCTGGGGTCTCCGGGCGCCTGGTTCCCAGCCAGTGAGACCCAGGGGACGTTCAGATGCCGACCAGATAGTCAGCCGAGGCCTACCTGGGCCTGCCCAGCTGCCTGTTAGGTTGAGCAAGCTCTTGGCTCCATTTCTTGCCTCCGCTGGACTGTTATAGAAGACGGGCAGGGCTGAGGCTGCAGGTGGGGGAGGGCAGCAGCCTCACCTCTGCGACTGAGAAGGCAGGGGCAGGGAAACGCATCAACCTCCCTGCCCTCTACCTTAAAGCTCTGGGGCTAAGGCCCGTGCACCCCAAGACTCCCCGCTGACAGGAACTCCTTTCTGAATGTGTGTTTTGGCCACAGTTGGAGAAGAGACCCAAGGATGAGACCTTCAATGCTGCGGAGTTTCCAGCTCTAGAAAATAGGAGACTCGGCTTTGGTGGTGGGTGGCCTCAGGGGTCCGAGTGCACGAGCCTGTCTGTGCAGGGAGGGGACGGATATGGACAGCACAGCACTCAGGGCCCCATGGTTGAAGCAGAAAGAGGTGTAATCCTGAGACAGCTTTCCAGTCCTATGGACCGCACTGGTTTATGCAAAAGCTGGCCGGGGTTCTCAACCGTGGGTGAAAACATCAGACTCACCTTGGGGAGCTTTTGAAAAAAATACCCATGCCCACGCCACCTTTCCAGTCTCCTTCCCTTTTTCCCTCCCCAAGTGCACCCTGAGGTTCTGACTCCGTTGATTTGGGGGAGCCGTGGGACTGCCCACCTGCCCTGAGGAAGACAGAGGAGGCAGGAGGCAGGATGCTGTAGGAGAGAGCAAGGAGGTTCAAGACAGACCCCTGGACATGCCCAGGAGTGGAGGAAGGGCACAGGTGGCAGCATTTGATTTCAGAGAGCCACTCTCTAACCCCTGGATCACCAAAACTCTCTCCACAGACAGAGGGCATTTGCACAGCGGAACTCGACATAACAAAGCCCAAGGCTGGCGGATCCGGTGTTCCAGCCCCAACCCTTCCGCAGGATCAGATCCACAAAGTTGGCTCTGAAAGAGAATGGATGCTGACCGACAGAGATGACGAGCAAGGACTCTGGGTCTCACAGCCTGACTTTGAATCTCAGTCCTGACACTGACAAACTGTGTGATCTTAGCTGAGGTATTAACCTCTCTGAGCCTCAGCTTGTCCACCTGTATGTAAGATGGGGATAATATGGATGGCACTACTCCCCAGTGTCTGCGCTCCATCAAGTTTTGAGGTTGTTGTCTACGCTGGCTTTATCACATCATGGCCATCCTGCCGTGTTTGGGGGGAGAGGGGGAGGGAAGTGACGTGAGCCACAGCCTGTGCCTATTCCTTAGTATCCAAAGTCAACAGAATGGTCTCCCTGGTCCTCACTCTTCTACATGACAGCTCAGACTTCTTTGAACCCTTCTTTTCTAGACTCTTCTTTCCCCATTGCCTTGGGTGTCCTCTTCTCATCTGCCCCTCATTGTGCTAGGACAGCCATATCCTTCCAGACACCACTAGGCCAACCCCAGGCCCACGTGACCTCGCCCTTGAATGGGCTGCCTAGAACCAGAGGGCTAGGGCATGTCCCTCCAGGTTGACTGCTCCAGCCAAGATCTGAGCCACCACCATGCTTCTGAATCCACCAGGGGGCGCTCTATGTCCAGGCACTGTTTATTGGTTTATTTGATAACCAATGACTACCTATATTGTGCCAAGCGCTGGTCTGGGAGATGGGGACAAGAAGATAAAACTATGACAATTCTCCTTTCTGGGAAGTTCAGCGTGTGATTGGTAGCACATAAAAAAAGACAGGAAACAAAGGATTATTTTAAAAGGTAGAAGTGATACTCGAGTCAAGGCAAAAATCCCAGTGGCATGGGTGCGAAAGGGCCTCTGCCTTCTATCAGACACAGGAAATGGTGCAGACAAGTGGCCTGGGGGGTCCTGGATCCCAGCCCTGAGACCCTGCCCGCATCAGTCAGTCCCATTTGATTTCTGTCCTCCAAGAATTCTGGGAGGAGGATGAAGAGTCCTTGAAAATTCCAGAAGGATGTCTGGCC